AAGCCGAGGTGCCTTTTTTCAGCCCAAAAAGTGGGCTGAAAAACTCGGCTTATACTTGAGTATATACTGTAGTAATTAAGAGTCTCACTAATTCTGATGCTAAAATGAATACACTGTCATCCTGGCTAGTAGATATTATTAGTCGTCTTTATGTGTTTAATTTTAAAATCATCTATGTTGGTGGCTATAAAGTACCTCAAGAAAATTAAATGTAAACATTTTCTTCTCCAGAACAAATTGAAATCTCTTCAGATGTGGTATTCCAAGCTTGATTTTTCTATTGCCAACTATACATTATTTCAGTCACTTGGGCCTAAAACTGTAAGTACACCATAAGTTAAAGGGTTAATATGACTATGATGCAGTTAATGGATATTGCTTTTAAGAGTCTATTGGAGGAACTAAAGGTATGCAAAGGAAGAGCATTTGCCTGCATGCCATCTTCTACAAAACTGCTTCTATAACAAAAGAGTAATGCTGTTTAGGAAAGGTATTATGAAGTTCCCATGTCTGAAATGCATGCATCTTCTCATAGCAGGCAACATATTTCTGCTTTTAATGAGGCAGCTATGAAATATGAGCACACTAAATGTTAAAACTATAAGCCCTATTTATTTTAAATTGATTACAGGTGCCCAACTCCAATGGACTCCGGGTGGTGTATAAAACTAAAAATTTAATCTATCTATAACTCCTCACTCTCTCCTAATAAATTGCTGATTTGGGAATGTAGTAAATCACTTGGAATGATAGTTTGCAGCTGAAACTCATTTATTTGGAGCTCTCTATATATCCTTCTTCCTCTTAGTTTGCCCACAACAACAACCCTGTGAGGTGGATCGGGCAGAGAGAGAGACTGGCCCAAAATCACTCAGTTGCTTTCATGTGTAAGGGGCAGGGGTGGGTTGCTACCGGTTCGCACCGGTTCGAGTGAGTCACTAGTAGCAATTGTGACTGGGTCGCTGAACCGATAGGGGTGGCAGGCTAGCCATGCCCCTGAACCGGTTCCTGGGTCGCTCATGCCGTTGCCAGCATGGGTTTGTTTGTTATTTTATAGTGTGCGGAACAATTTACAAGTGACTGCTCATGTGCAAGCAATGTGCGGCGTGCGCATGCAAAGTGAACTGGCAGTAACGCCAGCAGGAGCCCACCCCTGGTAAGGTGGGGCTAAAACTCACTGTCTCCTGGTTTCTAGTTTGGTACCTTAAGTGCTAGACCAAATTGTCTCATTCTTGTCAGTGGTCCAAGAATGAATCCTTTCCAATGCTCTGAAAGACTTCCCTGTATGTACTGCTATTACTTGGTCACTTGTCCTCCTTCTTGCTATGCAGATCTCTGAAGGAATTTTGACGCTAAGCTTGGGCTTGGATGAAATCTATACTTTGACAACTCTAACCACTGGCCATAAGGGCTCTTTCTCAGAACCTCCTCCTTCTCAACCTTTTCCGTTCACTTACAAAGATGATTTCAATATCCGTAAGTCAACATCAAGCTATTTTGAAAGAATTCCTTATTTGATGATCCTAGGCTACTAATCATTATTGTCAAGGATAGGGCCCTCATCGACAGTATACATTCTCTAGCATTCCCAATAGTAGAGGAACAGAAATCTATAATGGTAAACATAGAAATCAATACAGTGTGAGAATCTATTGACAACCATAAGTCTAATCTCTTGTTTGGACAAGGATCCAAATTAAACCATCCATGATAGATAACTATTTAGCTTTGCTTGGTGATTATTGCTGCAAATAGTCCATGCATTTGTTCATTGGACTTTCTCTCTGCAGCCTTTTAGTTTTGAAAGCATCTCAGTTGGTGTAAATCACAAAAAAAGTGAATACTGAGATTTGAGCCCACTTGTTCCCAGTCACATACAGATTTCAGTTGACTGTTCTTGGTGGCCTTTTTAAAAAAAAAATTAGCTTGATAACATTGAAGAGATCAGTTAAGACAATAAAAACACATTTTTCAGTACATATGACGATAAAACATTTATAATGTGAAGGTTTTTTTGCAACTAAGAAATTTCTACTTTTGTATAATGTGAACAACTATGACTGTGATGGATTGAGCTAATAAAATTTATGTTCTTCAAATAGGCAACCCACCTTTCAGTGAAGCACCATACTTTGCTGATCAAACAGGAGTGTTTGAATATTTTATGAACTCTTCTGATCCAGGGGAGCATGTCTTTACACTCCGACAAGTGGTTACTCAGAGACCTATAACCTGGGTTATGGATGCAAAGAACACAATCAGCATTATAGGCAGCTATAAGTGGTATGTAGTACATGTGTTGTAGTACATTTTCAGTTTAGCCCAAAGTTTATTATGAAATGTGGGCATAGCAGTGAACTTACAGTTGCAGAGAATCTTTTGTTGATAGCTTGCTTTATTGTGGCTATTCTTTATTTTAGTTTTATTTCATTCATTTTACATAGCTCCCCATTTCACATATCAGTGGTGGGTTTCCATTTATTTAAACTACCGGTTTGCGCATGCACATGCGTGCGAAGCTTCTGTGCATGTGCAGAAGTGTCCAGGCAAGTGGGCGGAGCCTTCTGCCATTGCCACTACCAGTTTGCCCGATCCAGGCCGAACCGGGAGCAACCCACCTCTGTCACATATGTGACTATGGCATCTCATCAAACTCATATATAGAAATAATGTAAAATAATTAAAACAAATAACTTCAAGGCCTAATTTTATAGCAAAGTCTTCAGGGACTTCCTAAAGGCCAATGAGATTGTAACCAATCTATTCTGTCACATCAGAAAAAGGTATCCTGAGTCCCATCAGATGGAACTCCTTTGTAGATAAGAACCATAACAGGCCATTTCTGCTGAATCTGAGATGTCATGTTTATGTTAATCTTATGCTACATAATGTTTAATTTATGATTGCCACCTAGTGTAATGAGTGTAATGAGAAGCTGATGAGTAGAAGCCATTGCTAAAAGAGAACTGAACATATTTCCTATGACAAAAGTTATCCCAGCTATTGGTAGTATTCTTGAAAATAGGCTTGTTACAAGGATATGACATATTCCGAAGTATAAATTATTTGATCTCTTGAATTCTGGAAACAAAATTGCTTATTATAAGACACTGTGGTGCCCTTCAATTTTAAAAATGAATCTACAGAGTGGCTTACAAATAAATTAAAAAGAACATTCTGATATATAATTATTCCCTATTGCAGCAATCTTTCCCCTGATCTTATCTTTGATATTATTTCTTCCTTAGCTATACCATACTAGAAAAGAGTATACCTGGGAATAAAATGGAGACTCATATAGCTAGGGGCATGGTAGCCAAAGAAATGGAACATTGTGTAATATTGTTGATTATCCTTTTAGATTCAGTTCTTCTAAAGAGACTGATAGTTGCATCTCTGTTTCTCTCAGAGGTATTTCCAGGGGTGTTTTTAGGTGCAGTATTTCTGTAATTGTATAATATTTGTAATATATTATAGCATTTTCAATATATCATTTCAATAGTCCTAGATAGCATTGAATGCATCCCAAATTAAACTTAAAAAACTCTTAAAATATTGTGAAGTGTTGGCTTTGTTGGGATCAGCATTTTAAAATCTTATAAGATATCAGGCAGTTTTGAAGGTGGATTTTGTCTGGGTTCTACAAAAATTGCCAATCTTATTTACAATGTGTCTTACTTCATCTTTGCTAAAAATAATCTAAGATGAAGCCGTTTCTTTTGGGAAATCTTATATGGAATAACCTTTAGCCCTAAATAAAGCATTATTATACTTAGAATATTACTTTAGATGTTTAGGGGAGAAGCAGGAAAAAAATATCACTCCCCTGACATATTATAATTATGAACTGGATCACCCTTCTATTTCAAATTCTGATTTCAAAATAAGCAAGAGAAAGACTATTCAAACATTAAGGCAATTAGTATCTATTACCCCACCCCACCCCACCCCATCAGTCCAATATTTAACCATCTTCCATTTATTCTTGCAGGGCAAATATCATAATAAGCTGTGATATTTATATAGAATCAAATAAAGGAGGAGCATTCATTGCAGGAAGAATTAACAAAGGTGGTATATATATTGCATCTGCCAAAGGAATTTTTTTCTGGGTTTTTCCTGATGGCACATATCAAGTTACGGGAGATCTCGGTAAGTTCTTACTTTTTATCTTTGTAGCATGATGGGGGAGGGTGTTGGATGGGTGGATTGTCCTCTGTTCTCAGAAACTTAATAACTGCCCTGCAAATATTTCATGTTACTTATTTCAGAATCTTACACAACCTAGCCTCTCCAGATGTTAGGAAGGGTAGAAGTTGTACATACTGCTATGTAACAAAGACAAATTGCTTGTTTGCCCAATCACACTTGGCCAATAAAGAATTCAATTCTATTCTATTCTATTACCTCCTACTGTTCTAAAGAGAGTCGGAAGTTGGTACCTTCTTTTCTCCCATTACAACATATCCCTTCTTTCCTCCCCTCTCTCTTCTTACTTTTCCATGTTTTTTTCCCTTTGTATTGTATACTTGGATAAACTAATACAAAGTTAAATCATAATAAAGGGTGGAAGTTGGAGCATTTTTTTTAAATATTCAAAACTGCACTCAAAATGTGATGTGTATCACAAACATTACAACACCAAATAAATTACAATATTGAAAACTATCTTCTATTCTTAGCTTATTTTTAAATGTATCACTGTATTTGAATATAATATACTAATTATAGTGTATGCTTTTAATTTTGTTTTATTTAATTGTGTTGAAATTCAGAGTTTGGGTGGCACATAATTTCAGTTCACTTTCTAGATAGAGAAAGCATTTTAAAATGTTATTCTTTTGTAGCTGGTGTTGAAATCTTGATGAAAGGGTTATCTGGTGTGCGAGCAAACACATGGCATACACTCACTCTGATTCTCAAGGTAAGCATTGAAGTGCTATTCAAATACTGGTAAGCTGATTAACTCCTAAAGAGGAATAAAGGTCTGCTATCTCATTAAGCCATAGGTATTAAAATTCAACTACCTGACAAGCTGCAATTCAGTAGTATCATGCTGAGAAAGTTCCTTTGTTGAAGAATAGCCTCTTAGAGATTAGTACAAGAAATCCCAGCAAGTGAAAACCTGTCTATCCACATATTTTCCAAGAATTGCCCTTCCTAAAGTCAGATTTTAATCTATAAGGCATTCCTTGGGATGCATTGTAGTTACATATTTTCCTGTTACTTCTAAAATCTGGACTGTACAACATAGAGTTATTTTTTGGACATGTGTGTATTTGTGTGTGTGATACAAAGTGAATAGAGGAAATAACATGGACATCCTCCACTTAATTTAGCTTGTTGTTCCAAGCAATAGACTCCTATTATCATATGTGGTGGACATGTGCAGAAGCAAGGAAATATTGGACTAAGATAAGAGTATGGTTAAAGAAAATGTTACAACAAGAAATAGAATTNGACCTGCTGATCTAGCAGTAGCCTGCAGTGCTGCATTTAACCACTGCGCCACCTTGGCACAATGGAGTAGCTTCATAGGACTACTGTCAATTTGAAATGATTTCAGACATTTTGTCCTATCAAAATTGAGGTCGTAGGCTCACTCTGTTTCCCATGCACAGATTTCTGACTCAGTCAGGTTTTGAATTCTAACTATTAGGTGTACTGATTCAATGCTTACCTTTTAATAAGCTCATAACTTTATGAAAAAAGTGTGAGTTGTATGATAATATAATGCTGTTCTTACTTTATTGCTTAATCATTCAAAATACTTTTTCATTCAGAAGGTGGTCTGTGCGAACATTTTGGTGATCCACGGAAAAAATATTTGCATTTTTTATATTGCACTAAATCAGGGGTCCTCAAACTACACCCCCTGGGCCAAATACATGCAATGTATATTTGTGTTGCTGGAGAAAGTCTCCCCCTTCTGAATCTTTTTGTGTGGGTCGGAGGGGGCCAGAAATTCCAACTGGGGGTCTGCTTCGGCCTCCTGGCATGGGGCTTTAGGCAAAGGCTAGACGAAAGTGTTGCTGGTGCCGAAGAACCTTGTTCTAGTGGGACTACATCATGGTCTGGAACTGGCTAATCATGTCAGCTCGCTGAGCCTCCAGGTGTTGGCACTTGGTCTTGCACTCCCACAGATCTTCTCTCTGCTTGGAAAGCCTGTGCTTGTAGTCCTCAGTGAGGTGCTTCTGCTGAGCCTCCTTCTTGGTCATATCCAATTTGACCTGAACCATTTGTTTTGCCAACTCTTTCTCATGGTGGCTGCTTAGCTCCAGCAACTGCTTCCTTTTGGGACTCTAAGGAGCAGGCAGGCAAGGAATGGCAAATAGAGGCTGGCAAGGCGCCCCTTGACATGAGTGACATTGAGTCACATGACCACCTTGCCATGCCCACCCAGCCAGTCATTAGGCAAATCATATTAGTGGATTTAAAATTATGAATTTAGTGGTCCCTGAGTTCCAAAAGGTTGGTGGCCCCGGGTCTAAATCACAATAGTTTTATTGAGTCATAGACTGATATTGCATTCATGATCCTATACATTATGAAGGAGCTCTTCTGAATTAAATCCATAACCATCTGCATTCCTATAAGAAGTTATTCCTGGACCTTTGAGTTGTAACTACATATAGGTACTTCAGTCAGAGCAAGTTGATCACTTATTAGTAGGACAATTGAGCTATCTCCTTTCTTCATGTAATTTTATGTTGACCTTATTATTTTTTCTTCCCATTGAAGCAGGTTTTAGTGTTCTTTTTTTTTGTTTTAACACAGCACATACAACACAATTCACCCAACCAGGCTGGTATTACCTGAAAGTAGATGGGCATTTGGAAAAGGGTGGAAGCTTCGTGGCTCTAACTGATGGGCTAGGCAATCTGACCATCGTCATTGAAACTATGGTAATGTTATTCAGCAAAGTCTAATGTAGAATTGATTTCACACACTATAAAACTTATGGAAGCATAACAGTACAAATGCTATGGAGGTATACTGTCTTTGAGTTGCTCTTGGCTCCTGTTAATTCATGAATGTATCCATGGAGTTTTCATGGCAACAATATGAAAATGAATTGCTGTTGGGTTTTTTCTTCCCCCCCTCTCTCCCGACTTTCAGTATAGTCTGTAACCCAAGTAGTCTCTGATATTCTCCAAACCAAGTAATAACAGTTTAGTTTTTGAGCCTCCACAAAATCAGTCAAATGCTGCCATCTGCTGATATATATTGAAAATAAATGCTTCTCTATGAGGAGCATTGTACTAGTGTCTTTTCAATTGGTCCACTATAGTCCCTAAGACTGAGTTGTGAATGAGAAGTGCCTTCTTTGAGTCTCAGTTCTGATAGGGCTTCGAGAAGAGATCTTAGACAAGCAAATTTGTCTTCTAGGGATATATTATATTGATTTATTTTACAGGGTTGTAGTATAAATTATTGGTATAGTATGTTTAAAGGATTTTTAAAAAACATTTTGAAATGCAATACGAAAGTCAAGTTATTCATTTATATATTAAACAAATTTATATTTGTTTACATTGAACCACATCCTTGTAACTGGAGTTTTTTCAGAGACTGAATAGATAATAAGTTTATGATTGTGGTTCATTATATTCTTTAACAATTTTGAAATTATGATCTTAAGGTCTTGCATTATGCGCTAAGGATTCAGCAATGCAAATCTAGTCTGTTTTTACTGATTATGTTTGTGTGTGTGTGTCTCTCTCTCTGTGTGTGTGTGTGTGTGTGTTTTACTGCTGTGTGTTGTTGCTGTATTTCCACTTCCTGATTTGGCATGTCAGATAGAATAGCCTAGTTCCTGGGATCTCCTCACTCCCAGTCACTCCCACAGTTGAAGGGGATATCCTAGACATAAGTTGCAAGCAGAATTATTATTGCAGAGTATTATATTGTGGCTTACAGCCTCTTCAGAACACTGTTCTTAGGAGAGAGACAAAGACAGAGACAGAGATGGGGGTGGAGAAACCTTCTCGCTCCTATTCCTGTGGTCAGTATTTCATGGTCACCAAACATAGCTCAGTTCTCATTGAGCTATTCTTGAGATTTCTTTCTCTTCTGTCCTTTTCTTTTCACCCCACTTTTTTTAAAAAAAGTAATATATACAGCACATCAGCCAGTTCTGACAGTTCTGGAGAACAAGTAGCAGAAATTTTGAGTAGTTTGGAGAACTAGCAAATAGGCTGGCCCCGCCCCAACTGTCCTCCATACTCCCAGCTGATCTTCTTTTGTTGCCCTGAACAGAAGAAGAGAGCTGGAAAGCAGGTTAGTGAGGTGCGGAGGGAATGGGTATTTTGCAGTATCCTTCCCCTGCCGTGCCCACAAAGCCATGCCCACAAAGCCATGTCCACAGAACTGGTAGTAAATTTTTTTGACTCCCACCACTGCAGTATGTACATACATACATACATACATACATACATACATACATACATACATAATGATTTTCCAGAATTTGATAATTATGCTTTTATGTGGGTGACACTCTTTATCTAAATAAGCAATGTCATGTACAGTCTGGATGATGGAAATAAAAGGAATGACATTTTGAGGTGATGTTTGATCTGTGCAATTTATTCTTTATTTTTAGACTCACAACCACTCACGATGCATCAGGCCACCACTTCCTCCCTATGTTGTGTCACCCCAAAAGGCAGTTTTCCACTTGAATGGATCCTTTGTAAGTAATTGAACTGTACCTCAATCACTCTGTCAGGTGCCTCAGAGAATAGATGATCAAAACAAGACCAGGCAATAGCTTGTTTTGTTTATCTATAGCAATTAGAATGATTGGCATTTTTAAAGTGACTATGTAGTTGAATGTTACATATAACTAATTGAGGGACAAATTCCATTCCTATGAACCCTATCTTATTGTCTGTTGTCAGAAGTTGTCCATGAACAAATAAAAGTGGTGCAGTTCAGATTCATGGTACTGCAGTGTTTTTGCCTGCCTGTAGTCTAATTATAGTACTAATTTCTGCTATGTAACTCAGATTTCCAAGAAAGACTTAATTTGAACAGGGAAATTCTGGATGTTTGTTCCTTCCATTAAAAAATAATAATTAGCTTATTAATGGGTTTTAACATATTTAAGTGGAACCATCAGCATCAGAATTGATGATAAATGAACCATATTTTAATTTATTTTGAAGTAAATTATAATTGTTTTTATTGTTCTGATTTTAAATAGCATTATGAGCTCTATTTATAAATCTCAGTCATGCATTGGAATGGAAACAATATTGAATAAATATTGTGGGTTCAGCTTGAGTATTATTTATCTTGACAATTATAGTAGTTGTAATTATAGTGTAAGTTTTTCTTTTATTTTAAAATGGGTAGCAATACATTTTGTTAGAAGTCACGGGCTCATACTCTTAATCAATTGTTAGGTAATAATACTTTTAGAATTTCTGAGATTTTGAAAAGGTTTTTAAATAGAAATAAATACTGTTAAAATTTTTGTTATCTATGCAGTTTGCTACTTTTCCCCAGCATTCAAAGTTTTTTTTAAAAAATTGTTTACTTTTTAAAAAATAAATAAATTTTGGGTCTATTAATATGCTGCATTAGTAATAAATTTCAAGGAATGTTGGTAAATATGTAATTCCTTATTGGTCAAATATTATAGCCATGGTGAATGAGATCTTTTTAAAGGCAATTAATTTAACAATACATTGATATCCTTAATCCTTATCTTTCAAAAATGTGGAAATGTTCAATCCTGGAAGAACTTTGGATATATTGTGCTTGGATTGTGTCAAAATAGATAATCATCTACACATGGAAGAATAGTTCAGTTCTAAACTATGAATGTTGAGTCTATGAAATATGTCAACTTTCAAGACTTTGAAGCAGCTTTCTGTCAAGAGAGAGGCAAGACTAGAGAAGTAATTTCATATGAAGTAGATTAAATTCATTATAAATGAACATGAATATTATAATGAATATTATTATTAATAATAATATTAATACAATTGATATTAATGCAATGAATATTGTTATAACCTTGATTATTATTTCCTAAAATGATTTGTACCCAGACAACACAAATAAATAAACCTATTAAAAAATGAATTGCAACATTGAAAAATTAAAGAAAGTTATGTAATTTCAATAGTCTAATATTTATCTATATAAAAAGGTGTTTAGATTATTGTTATTTTGAATTCCTAGTTTAGAGTTTTGTTTTCTTTTTATTTTCTGCTGCTGTGCCACTGCCTCCTGTCTAAAACACTACAATAGAACTGTGGTGGCTAGACCAAAGGTCAATTTAATCATATCCAATGGCTCACAGTGGCTAAAAAGATACCAGTGGGGAGCCCACAAAGAGGATATGAGCAAACCGGTATCTTATTGCTCATGTTCTATTTATTAACTACCGTATATACTCGAGTATAGGCCGACCC